AAAAATGAATTCATTAATTCCCATCAAGGGTGTTAATTATTATTAACCTGCAGAATTAATAATTTAGATACTCACGACCAAACCCAGGAGGTCTGGAACATTCCTCGGGTGTAACAATCCCCTGGAGGAATTGTTCACAAAGCTAACAAAATTAATTTAATTAAAACAATTAATTATTAATAAAATATTAGACGAATTGAATTACCAAATTAATGAAATGAGGAAGAGATCAGTAGTTCGAGCCGGGTATAAACCCCAAGGCTCAATTAACGAAAATTTTTACCTTAACAATTTTTCGTACTGAAGAACTTCTAGGATTGGCTTGGGCTTCCTTCCTGCTGTGGTGGTTGGTGATGCCACTTGCTGAACCACTTCACTACTTCTGCCCGCTTCACGCCGAGCGATCAGCTAAATAACCTCAAGCTTCCCCTTCCCCCTTAACTCTAATCGGGTATTGTCGGGTCCCGAAGATCGAGAGGCCAGTGCTGCGTCGAATAATTATCACGCGCGATCGATTTTATCGATCAGGGGCAAAGTGCCCTGTTACACTCTCCCCCGCCAGACCAGCACTGGGGGTCTCGATCTTCAGTTCCCCTCAGGAAGTACATGAAATGAAATTATAAGGAATTTTCCAAGAAAATATAAATGAATTTATTTAGCCACTACAAGTCTTCGTCGTGGTCCAGTTCCAGGACGTCGTCGTCGCTGTCCTCACCGAACGTCCTATCGCCTCCGATCCCGGAGTCCTCGGAGATGGGGAGAGCACTGCCCCCGTAGTAGTCCATCTCTGCCCAATTGGGCCCTCTCAGCTCACCCTTCTTCCTCTTCTTCTTCTTCTTGTTCTTTCGACGGACAGGAGCAGTTGACGGGTCCAGCTCTGGCGTCTTCTCGCCTCGCGGGATGCCAGTCTCCATTACTCCTGTCTTGGCAGCCCGTTCCAGAGCCAACTTATACAAACCGGCCCGGTATTCGGCGAAGGCTGGCGAGAGATGGGGTGGACATTCAGGAACCTTGAAGGTGGATGTTGAGGCTGCCTGAGTGTCAGCAGCGTGTCGACTCCCAGTAGGGAGTGCTGCAGCTTCCTCCAACTCCATGGGTATGGACCTGGCCATTGTCGCTGGTGTTATACGAGCTGGAACGGGTGCCAGAAAGGTGGAGCTTCTTCTGGGTGTAGCTGATGACGGCTGGGACCTCGTGAAGACCCTGGTCTTCACGTACGTGGTCGACTTCGTAGGCGGGTTCGTTGTAGTTGGTGGTCGACGAGGGATGGCCCCCTTGGACACATCAGAGACGCGTCCGGGTTTATTACCATCTCCTGTTCTTGTTGATGTCGGTTGAGACGGCGTGGCCCCCTTGGACACATCAATGGCGCGTCCGGGTATACTACCACTACCTCTGATCTCAACTGTGGGTCTCACGGGTACGTCTGGTCTGGAGGAAGGTCCTGGTACAGCCTCAGGTGGTCTTGGCGTTATGGGAAGTGCACCGAGACCTGGAGTAGACACAGGTGGTGGTGTCGTTATGGACGATAACGGAATGGAGACCCGGACTGGTGTAAGAGACGTCTCCGTCTCCGCCTGCTCACGAACAGTCCGGACCCCAAATGTCAAGAGCTCCAACGGCCTCAGCTCTTTGAGCATTTGCCTTTCCTTCTTCGTGAGGGCCCTCCTCCAGGCTTTCCTCAAGATGTTTTTAGGCGTGGCAGGGTTTTCCAGCAACAGGTTGAACTTGGCTCTGCGTCTGTTCAACCTGTTCTGGTTCCCGTTAAGTCCACACCATTTAGAGATCTCAGTACAGACCTGATCTCCTCTTCCGTGGCGTCGATTAGCTCGCCTGGACCTTGCTCGGCCTTGCGCGGGGTGTTTGCCATCCTCTGTATCTTTTGGTTCATCTCCAATCCGGAGAGCCCCCAATCGATCATAGACCGAGGGTATCAGGATTGCTGGGGCTGGATCATAGCTAGGCACTAACGGCCCCAGCCTCATCAAGGCAGACGTCCGGGGTGTCGATGCCGCCTCTGACGGCAGCTCTGCGAGGAAAGCACGCTGAACGGCCCCGGAATTAATTCCAGGTCTCACTCCTCCGGTGTTAACCTGAGCCGCTTCTGGCCGCTGCCGACCCTCTCTCTGGTTCTTAATCTCCTGGGAGATTCTCCACATCACTCTGAAAATTAATTTAATTAATAAAATAATCAGGCGTTAAATATTTTTTTTTTTTTAGAGTAATAATTATCGTTATTAAGTTATTTCTTATTCGCTAACCGATCGCTACGACGCGGCAGCTTTAAGTCGGGTATATAATGTTGGCCTAATAATTTACCGCGTTCATTTTTTAGTTCAACGACTAACGGACTAATTATCTTAGAGATAAACGCCGGCCCTAAATATTTAACCCCAAGACTCGCGCTGTACCCCGCCGCTTTATTGCTTAATTTGCGATTAGGATAGTATACTTTGTCACCGACAGAGACCTCCGGGATCTTTAGATCAGTACCGTGGTATTTCTCTTGTCGCTCATTTTCTTTTCTCATAACCGATTCTATTTTGTGTCTGAGCTCATCAAGACGCTGTACTCTTTTGGCCCATTCATGATTTTTAAACTCAATATCATCTAACTCCAAATGAGTTATCTGACCTACTGGACGTGGTTCTTGGCCATGAAGCAAATAATACGGCGACAGCTTCAGAGAGGAGTGGAAGGCACTGTTGTAAGCCAGTTGAAACTCGCCCAGGTGCTTATCCCACTCCTTCTGGTCTTTATTGATGAAAGCTCTTATCATGGGTTTTAATGTACGATTAATGCGCTCTACTGGATTAGCCTGCGGATGTGCAACGGCTATTGGAGAAAACTTCACTCCGACTTCCCGCAAGTAATCCTGTACTAGAGTGTTGATGAATTCTTTACCGTTATCTGTGACCAGGAATAGTGGGTATCCCCACAGTGTGAATGCCTATTTAAAACACTGGAGTATGTAACTACCCGTGTGTTCACGTAACGGAAAGAACGCCGAAAATCGGGTATAAAGGTCCTGGACAACCAGGACATAACAGTTTCCTTGTTTTGATCTCGCAAATGGACCCGTCACATCGGCTGCCACAACCGCTCACGGTTTTATCGGTTGTCTAGTTTGGAGTGAGGCTTTCGAGGAAGTTTGTTTGTATTTAACCTGTTTGCAGGTTCCACAGGCATGTACGAAGTCTTCGACGTCCTTCGACATGCCTGGCCAGTAGAAATTAACTTTAATGCGCTCATACATTTTATCACGACCCAGATGACCAGCATCTGGCTCCTCGTGATTTCTTCTCAGTGTTTCCGGTACTTCGTGGTCTCTCAGTACCTTTTTCCACTCTTCCTCGTCACCCAGGATCTCCTTAAGGGGATCGGGTCTTCTGTAATAAAGATGATCCTCCAAGATTTTCCAGTCTGGAAAGTTTTTTGGATGTTTCCTGACATTATTGAACTTAATGTCATACCAGTTCGATGTTTGGATGTGGACAAACCTAGCTGTTTGCAGTCTGTCTCTAATTTCCATCCAATCTTCTGGAGAGTCATCTTCATATAGCCGAGAAAGATCGTCTGGGCCCTCGTTTGTAGTGCCTCGTTGATGCTTGATGGTAACTTGGTGAGAAAACAGTTCGACTGCCCATCTCGCCAGGCGTCCGTTCGGCTCTTTCAGTGAGTGCAGCCACAACAGAGATGCGTGATCTGTGATCACCGTGAACGGAGCACCTTCGAGATAGCATCTCAGTTTCCTCACCGCCCAGACTACAGCTAAGCACTCCTTCTCTGTAGTCGTCTATCTAGTTTCTGCACCACGGAGCTGACGGCTGAGACAAATAATTAAATGCTCCTTGTCTGTTCCGGGTTCTTTTTGAACTAGAAATGCCCCAAGACCGGTGTCGCATGCATCAGTGTACAATACATACGGCCAGTCTGGTTTAGGAATTGATAAAGGCTGAGCATCGACGAGAGACTGTTTAAGCAGCTGAAACGACTTCTCCTCTTCTGGACCCCATCTCCACTCCGAATTTGCGCCTGTTAATTTGTTTAAAGGACCTTGAGCCTTCGCAACATTCTGGAGGTGGCGGTGGTACCAGTTAACGAGGCCCAGAAAGCTTCGTAGTTGTTTTTTGTTTGTTGGAGTGGGAAAATTTACGACTGGTGAGATTCTTTCTGGATCAGGATATAATCCAGTTTCGTTTACGACGAACCCTAAGAATCTCACTTCGTTTCTGCAGAACTTACACTTCTCCGGGTTGATCAGGAGGCCAAATTCGCGAAATACTTCAAAAAGGAGAGCCAGGACTTTTAGATGTTCATCAAAAGTTTTGCTTATCGCGATCCAGTCATCAAGATAGGCAAAAACTTGTTCAGCCCATTTTAGTGGAAGCTCTCTTTGGACCAATATTTGGCAAAAACGCGTTTTTATGTGGTCCATAGCTTTTTGAAAAGTACTTGGAGCTCCTACGAGTCCATATGGCATACGTAGCCACTCGAATTGGCCTCTACCTTCCACAGAGAATGCTGTTAATGGAACTGAGTCGGGTGACATGAGGATTTGGTGAAATGCCTCTTTTAAATCCATAGTTGAGATGTATATGGCCCCATGCAGAGCACTCAGTATTCTGAGCATGTTCGGAAGTGGATGGGCAGGTGGAATTGTGACTTTGTTGACTGGACGGTAGTCAATGCAAAACCTCCATTTGTTGTTCGGTTTTGAGACCATCAATGGTGAACATGACCAGTGACTGAAGCTCGGGCGAATGAACTTTTTCTCTAAGAGCTCATCGATCTGTTTATTCAACTCCTCGTTCACAACTGGGCTTCTGCGATACGGTTTAATTCGTACCGGCTGTGTTCCTGGTTTTAAAACAATTCCATGTTGAATAATATTAGTTGCTCCTAGGTTTGACACTTCACCAAATTTCCCCAACTCAGCCTCCAGAAAATCTTTTAATTTAGCCTCTTGAAGTTCAGACATAGCACATAATTGTGCTGACTTCTCATGACAGTTGATAGGCTGGAAACAAAAAACTTCTGGAGAATCCGAAAATTTCCACGTGCAGTTCTTGCAGTCGATTTGGACCTCGAATTTAGTCGCGAAGTCCATCCCCAGGACCAAGGAATAACCTAGGTCGGGTAAAATACTTAAATACTGTTCACCAGCGACTGATCCGATTTGAATTATGAAAGGGGCTCCACCTCTGCTTTTACAAGTAGAGTGATTAGCAAGAAGCACTCCTTTCTTGGTCTGATCGTCTTGTAGCACGCCAGCAGCCAGATGTTTGATGTCCTCATATACCTTTTCATTGATGTAAGACCTCTCACTACCAGTATCCAAGATTCCATTCAGCTTAACCCCAAATATCCATACGGATATGGGTATTCTCGACGTTTTTTCTGGTGGTGACCCGTTTCCGGGTTTGAAAATACGTCTAGAAGCAAGCTTGTGGATGAAAGATGCCGTGAGAGGCTTGTCTTGTAGGGTATGAGGTAAGAACGAAGCTTGTGATGGCTTATTGATGTTTGTAGTTACTGCTGGTTCAGGTACTGCTGGTTCACAGAGTGTTTCGACTTCATCTTCCCACTCAGAGTCTGATGCTTGTTCTGGCTCTGAATTGTCATCAGGATGTTGTTCCAAGGCAAATATGCGAGGATCGAGAAAATCGTGAGACAAATCCGATGGAGGATTTTCTAATAGTGCTATTAATCTCAGCACCTCCTCTGAACAAGGTGGTGTGACACGAAGTTTTTCTTGTATATTGTCTTCAGAGTCAGAATCAAACAGATTGGTTGCTTTGCCCCTTCCTGGCCCACAAGTGGGTGGATCCAGACGGGTATCAATTTCAATATTGTCTGAAACAAGCACATTGTTTGTTTCATCCCTTTCTGGCCCTGCAGTGGGTTTATCCAGACGGGTGTCAATTTTACAATTGTCTGAAACAACCACATTGTTTGCTTTGCCCCTTTCTGGCCCACGGATGGGTGAATCCAGACGGGTATCGATTTCAGAATTGTGAAATTTGTTTCCCTGTACTATATTCTGTTCTGGTGAGCACGTGGGAAACTTGCGTGCTACCTCTATGCGTTTTTTTTGAATTTGTTGACCTGCATCTTCCTCAAAAATTTCTGTGATGACTGGTCCTGACTTATTTTGACTATTAATCGGAACGAATAAAGGACAATTTTCTCTCGAATGACCAACTTTGTAGCATACGTTACAGACTTCTCTTCTGGGACCCGGACAGACCTCAAATGTATGACCAGGTACTCCACAGTTGAAGCACGGTCTAGGTCCACGTGGGTAATAAAAGTCATAAAATTGACTTGCATTATGCACCTGTGTTGGAGGTTGTACTGAGGTTAGTTGCTGTTGCTGAGGAACAGAGAACTGTCTTGGTGGTGTGATGTTCGACGTCCTAGGTTGATTATTTTGTGGTGTTGTTTGTTGGTTAGCAGGTTGAGCAGCAGGTGGAGCAGGAAGCTGTTGTTGCCTCGGATAAAAACCTCGACGGACAAATTGTCTGTTTGTCGGAAACTGATTACTGGCCCGTCTGAATACTCCGTATCGATTGTCGTACTCTCCTGCGTTCCATTGCATCGCGTTGAGCTCAGGAAGCTCGACATATTCTTCCAGAATTTCCATGTCCTCCATTTGCTGTTGAATTGCTCCAAAACGAGGTTTCTCCGGGTTTTTAGGTTGATTAACAGCATGTGTTTTGTTGCTCGTACTTTTAGTGCACCTAGCTGCCTCGTGTACCACGTTCAGCAGGTCCTCGTACGTCGAGACCTGTCTTGAAAACACCATGATTCTCAGCTCGTCGGTTAAATTGTTACGAATACAGTTTACCTGTTCTTGAATTGGTGGAGGAATTTCCATTGCTCGGTATTTTTGCTGGACCTTCAAGACAAATTCGGTGGGACTTTCCTCCAGCGTCATCTTCATTTGGCTAATGTCCATGATCATTTGGTGATCAGTTGTAGCGCTGCCAAAAGTCTTTAGGAATTCTCTCTTGAACTGGGCAAAATTTTCCCATCTACTGTAGTTCGCATCAACCCAACTCGCTGGTGTCTCCTTTAGTGTGAGAGTGATCACCTTCAATAGCTCCTTGTCGTTCCATTCTTCTCGTTTGGATCTTGCCTCTAACGAGTTCACAAAATCGTTAGCAGTGACTCCTGGTCGAGGGAAACAGATGCCAGACATCTGGATGCTGTCCTTGATTTCCCTCCAACGGTTGTAGGCAACTTGACTCGACCTATTGATGGTGTTTGGTCCTGTGTTGACCCCTCCAGGCGCTCTTAATTGGTAGTTTTCCTGGAGGTTACCTGGATAATTGTCCTGTGGTATATTTATGTAAGTGTTACTGGGTATAAACCCCCGGTAACGTTCTTGTTGGTCAATGTGTTGGAAGTCAACTCCTTGGGCTGTGAAAGTATTCGTCGGTGGACGTGATGTCGTGTCCACTGGACGAGTATTCTGGTTATATCCATCTTGAAAAATTGGAGAACTGGAATTTATTCCAGTATAGGCCGTTCCTGTATAAACTTGACGTGCTAATTGTTCACGCTCTCGCAACTGACGTATTTCCTGCTCTTGTTGTTGTTGAACTCGTTCGAGACGTTCTCGTTGATTTTGTTCCCGTCGCAGATTGTCACGTAGTTCTTGTTCACGTGCCTCTCTCTGTCTTAATGCTTCCTCGACGCCAAAGAGTTCGGCAGGAGGCCTCTGAGATGCTTCTGGGTCTCCTCGAAGTCGATGTTGGAGCCAAGATATGTTATGGTCCATATCCTCTATGATGTCATTCATTCGGTCTGCAACTTCCCCAAAATGCAACGAAGAATCCGAAGAACCAGCTGGAGTTGGTGTATTAGCAATTCTCGTGAACAAATTACTGTATCTGTACGTACGAGAGTTAACAGGAGCAGATGCTATACCACTGGTACCAGGGTTTGTGCCGGTGGATATTCTTTGACTATTTTGGACCAGTTGTGTGTTTCTGTAGACCTTCGCTGATCGAGGGCCGTGTTTAGCTGTGTTGACTCCCCCTGAGGTACAGGCATTAAGCTCGACCTGGGTATTTGAGTCAATCCAGCAGAGCCTTGTTGATTCTGACCCGGGTGTAGTTGAGTCGTCTCCCTCTGAGGTACAGGCATTACGCTCGACCTGGGTATTTGAGAACGCTCACCCAAGAGTCTTTGTTGGTTGAGACCTGGGTTTAATTGAGTCGACTCCCCCGAAGGTACAGGTATTACACCTGACCTAGGTATTTGAGAACGCTCCCCCAAGAGTCTTTGTCCAACATTGGTTCCGGGATCCACTATTGTACTTGATGACAGTGTACCACGGCCTCTACCAAAGGAAACTCGACGAGAGTCAATTTCTGGCTCCTCCAAGAGTCCTTGAGATCTTGTTCTGGGTCCAACTGGCGGAATCATATTAATTTTGACTAAACAAAAATTTTCAAATAAAATTAAACCGCAATATAATTTATTATTTAAGCTATTTATAAATAACTTCTTCAGCCCAAATAAATTTGAAATAATTCGTAAAATAAAACTTCAGAAAGTAAAAATGAATTCCAACAAAAAAAATTAATTTACGAAATATAAATGCAGCATAAATTTTAAAATAAAATAATATTCAGGAAAAATAAATTTAAATTGCAAAGTATATAAATTTTCGAAAAATAATTTTCAGAATAAAATAAAATAAATTTCGGAAAATGAATTTCCGGAAAATTAAATTTCCAAAAAAAAATTCCTCAAGAAATATTTTGAAAGTTGGTTACCGGATAATAATGTTCGAAAATAAATTCCACAATTTCCAAAAGAGGTTTGAAAACGAAAAATTTCTTAGGAAAATAAGTTTGAAAATAAACTTAAATTTCAAAAATAATTTGAAAAACAGAATGAATTTTTTTGAAAAATAATTCAAAAATTAAATTTTTCGCAAAAATAAATTTTCGAAAAGAATGACTTTCAAAATTTAATTATAAAATTTAAAATTTAAGAAAAAATACTTGAGTATAAATTCTGTAAAATATTAAATTTTCAAATCAGATTCCAATACAATTGATTTAATTATAAAATTTAAAATTTAAGAAAAAATACTTGAGTATAAATTCTGTAAAATATTAAATTTTCAAATCAGATTCCAATACAATTGACAAAAGTAAATTACCAGGCAAAAAAAAAAAAAAAAAAAAAATTTTTGAAAAATAAAAATTCAGAAGGAAATTTTTGATTTTAAAACACTCAGTTTTTCTTTTAATTTTAATTTATGTGAAAATTCTGAAAATAGAATTCAATGAAGACTTTAATTCCTTAATTAAATTTCAAGGGATAGTTATCCAATTAAATGATCAATTAATTTTCAAATTAACCCTCGAAAACGGAAATTAAATTTCCAAAAAAAAATTCAAACTTCAGAAAATATTTCGGAAAAAAAAATATATTTCAAAACTAAACTTCCAAATGTTTTATATAGAAAAAAAAATTTTATAGTAGAATATTTTAGGTTAATTTTCAATTATAATTATTATAATATTTAATTCACTTATTGCAATTGTTCCGGGAAATAATCCGAAAATTTAATTTAATTACACCAATATTAAATTTAGTTTAAAATAGAAAAATTTAACTTTCCAATTAATTTTATTTTAGCAAAAAAAAAACCACAGAAAAAAATTTTATAAGCGGATTAAATTTTATAGTAAGAGAGAACACTTCAGTACTTGTGTTGTTACTTAACGCGTCAACTAACAATGCCGAACGGAGTTGTCCGAAGTAGAGAGAGACAACTGCGTCACCCGCTTCGGTAGCGTTGTGTAACACTTTGTTCGGGTGTCTTCTCGAGTAAAACGCGCCAACCGTACGATGATGAACGAAGTTGACCGAAGTGATCGCGTCACTAGCTTCGGTAGCGTTGTGTATAGTTTTGTTCGAGTATCTTCTCGACTAAACGCGCCAAACGTACGATGATGAACGAAGTTTACCGAAGTGATCGCGTCACTAGCTTCGGTAGCGTTGTGTTCTCAAATTTTCTACGTAGACAAGATGTTTAGTTTTGCTGAGTTTTTATTTGTAGTTATTATTATTATTATCTATAATCCCCTGAGTGGCTACTTCACGTAGACTTAGTGTAAGCCACTGGGTTTATTTATTTATTATAGATAATATTTTTAATCCCCAGAATAGCTGTGTGTCGTAGTAATTGCTAACACCAGCTATTGGGTAAATGACACTTCCGGTAATAAATTTTAATTTCTTAAAGAAAAATAAATAAAAATAATTTCAAGTTAAAACTTTTCAGACTCAAGTAATTTTTTTCGAACTCAAGTAACTTTTTTCAAACTTAAAAACTTAGCTAATGACTGATTGAAAATTTATAAGAAAATTTTAATTAAGTAAAAATTTATTTATTTCCGGCCTTTCCTCTCTCTCAAGGGGTTAATCAAAAGTTGGGCGCCAGTGTAACGGGTGATTTATTTCCCGTACTTAAGGCCCCTGATTAAATTTAAACAATTAACAATATTTTTAACAAATGACTCTAAGTTGCTTCAGGGCGCCACCAGGATTATTGTCTCGGTTCCTGGAACCGGATACCAGAGCTGAGTTACTTAATCTTCAGAGAGAGAGAGAGAGAAAGGTGGTCTGAAATAAATATAATTTTATTAACAACGGTACCAAATTTTATTAACAATAAAAATTAACAATTCGTACACTGTATGTACACTCCTCAACTCACTTACACTACTCACTTAAAACTACTGGAGAATTTCGGGCTGTAACCGGCGACTCCACTTAACACTACGACTTAATACTAAGGTCTCTTACTTCACGCTCCCCACCGGAAGTCGCTACTACAACTTATATCTACGTTGAGGATTTCGGGCTGGAACCGTCGCCTCACTCAACGTTAATCCTCTGCTCGGCAATTCATCAACAAGCAGAAGACGTCGCACCAAGTCCTAGTCGTCCTACTCGGCAATTCATCAACAAGTAGGGCTCGTCTTATAAAATTTTCCTAATCCCACAGTACCCTCATATGGAGCGTCTATACTGTGGTTTCTAACTACGTCGCGCTGTCCACCGGACCCTCACGCTCTAGGACTGTACGAATTGCTCCACTCGGCAATTCATCAACAAGTAGAGAACGCGTACAATCGCACACACACACACCCCACACGATCTTCACACACATTACCCACGCGTCACACACACACTGATTCTACTTTCTTATTTCCGGATTTACTAAATTACTCCGAAAAATGTCAACTTTAATTTTTCTAAAATAACTCAGTCATTAGCTTGGATTAAAACCCTATGATTTATTCTCACAAATTAAACAAATTCCTTTCTTAAAATTCCGGCTTAAACCGACGCTTCTTTTTCCGCCATTTTGAACAAGAGCTTATCTCTACGCATTCACAAATTCTTAGAACAGTCTTTTGTAAATTTGACTAAATTTTACTCGGACTTAATCCATACGAATAATTAGTTTTTATAATAATTTTACCGGAATAGCAATACTAAATTATTGACAAATTTTTTTCAAGACAAGATTTCAATATATAAGACTCCCCACGCAGAAATTGGCAATTAAATCAGATAATAAATTATAATTTTACTCAATATGAAAATTACGTGCCTCAACTTTCCTGCGGGTGTTTCAGTCTTATCTGCGTCGAAATTTAATAAATCAATTCTCAACAATTAATAACACGTGGAATAATAAATTTCTAATAATTAGCGGAAGACGATTAGATTATCAATAATTCACCTCAGTGTGAAAAAAAGTAATTTCAAAAAATTATCCACGGTCTTAAATTTCGAAATGCAACGCAGTTTTCTCAATAATCAATTCCGGTAATTAAAATTGTACCAAATAAATAATTGAATAATTTTCCACAATTAATAAATAAAATAAAATAAAATAATTAATTAAGGGGTAATTCAATCGTTAAAATTAGTCCATGTATTTATTTTATAAATTTATACTGCGTCACCAATTCTTAAGGAATGTACGCTCAAAATGGACGACGTTACT